TATATGTATATCTACAACACAGTCATCTGAGATGCATCCCACTACTGGTAGTTAGGTTCCGTCGCTGTACGGCCGAACGGACGGAGTGTACGGTACGAGCAGTGTTTAGTAACGAATACTAAAGTACTATATATATATATATATATGTATTATAAGTGAAGTGTAACTGTTCTCTAGTTAATACAACAGTTATACACTTCTCGACCATTACTGCCACACAAATAGATAAATCCAAACAAAGAAACCGTTTTCTAAATTATGTGCAGTTTCAAAATGTTATTTGGCACATAATATTGTTTGAAGTACTTTTATTATAATGATATTGCACTGAGTTATTCACAATGAAGTAATAAAATAAATATTATCTTTGATATATTAATAATATGCATATCAAGTTACATTGGATGTATTGCAACTTTCATAAATTAAATTCTGTAATAATAATAATATAGCAGAAATCAACCTTCAAATTCAGATTTAAAAGCTGATAAAATGTAAAAGTGTATATTTTAATTTATATAATACTTAATTATTATTGAATCCGCTGAATGTTTAAAATTTTAGACATTTTTGATCACATATAATGATAATTAACAGGTTTCGATAAGTACAAAGGAGGTTTGGATACTGTGCACGATCTCACTGGGACGGAGAGTATATATACTTGTTGGAGAGGGATCGAGATTATGTTTCACGTCTCCACGTTACTCCCTTACGAAGAAAACGACGCTCAACAGGTATAACGAAAGTATCGTTTGAAATATGTTTCCTTTCTTCGTTTTAAATGACTGGTTATAATGTGTTATACTGCTGAAATATTTTTCTGCACCCATTTTACACTAATGAGATAAAAACAAAAATGACATCGCCAACGTAAAACAGACATTCCGCCTACACCGGACTCAAAATTACCAGCAACTAATTGTTGCATAACATACTGCATTTATGACAGTGATGTGATTTTTATGTTAAACACATCCCATTAACATTAAAATTAAAATCCCGTCATCCAACACTAGACTATCACATCTGTTGTTTAACAGCTGCTACTGGTAGCCTAGTACACGTAAAATATCTGTACACTGGAACTTTTTGTGTGTATAAATTTCTTATCAACACTGAACTGTCAAATATTCCATATCACAGCCGTTGTTATTCCAGCTGAGCGTTACAACGCTCATACATTTTCTGTTAAAGATAGCATGGCAATACTGAATTGTCAAAATTTCCATCGAAGAGTTACTGTTACACCAAACAGTAAATAAAACAATTTATATAATTTCTATGTTAAAGATACTCTCCTGGTATTGGATATAATATATGTTATCCAAAAATCAGCTGTTGCTTCACCAGCTTTTTATATAAATATTGGTATGGGTTACTTGTAATATTACCTGTCGAATAAATCCTATTTTTTTAATGTTGAAGATCTATGTTCACATCGCATTATTAAACTTTTTGTCCAGCAGATGCTTTTACACCATTTGATTTAAAAACTCCATACACTCCAAGAACCCATGGCATTTAGCAAAGAATAATATGCTGTAATATGTCAACTGCATTACATCTACCATACTTAGTGCCGACCAGGGCTCATCAGGCAGGTTGGGATACGAAAAACATAGTAGTGGTCTAGACGATATATATATAATCAATTTTCTTGACCAACAACTATTATGGCGTGAACCAGATTAAGCAAATGAATTGCAATTATTAACAATTCTATTTACGTCATTTATGAGTTAAACTTTTAGAATAAACATTATTGACACAATAGCGTTTCAATGTTAAAAATACCCTGTTAGCACCTGTCCATCAACTATCTTATTCAACACCTGATCCCACACATAATGTCATATAAAATCACATTTTTACATATTCTACATAAAACACCGCTCTACTGTCAAATGTCCAATCCGACTCTTATGCTTGTACATCATCTCATGCATAAAACTTTGATACAGTTTTGTATTACAGTTACCTTATCATCACTGGACAATAAAACAAGTTTTGCCAACGTTTACTGCCATACAACCTGGTGCACTGAAATCTTTGTATTTACAGCTTTGGAATTGATGATGTAAACGTACTGGTGATACAAACAATAAGTAACTACAAATAAATGGTTTGTGTATTATTAGTACAATACATTATTAAAGAAAATGAAAAACGAATAAGATACACAATTCACAAGTATTTACTTTAAATAGAGTAGTACACCTTGTTTTTTCATGTAACAGTAAGGTTTTCAAAGGTTGATTGCGAAATACTATACCAAATGTCCTGTAATACTGTCCCAAACTTAGCTAAGTTGTTAATTTGCTATTTGACATTCTCAGTATACATATAAACCCATACACACTTAATAATATTCCTTACATGGCTTCGTACATAAATGTCCTGTAATACTGTCCCAAACTTAGCTAAGTTGTTAATTTGCTATTTGACATTCTCAGTATACATATAAACCCATACACACTTAATAATATTCCTTACATGGCTTCGTACATGCCCAACCATGATTGCGAGTGTTTAATCAGCCTCTTTTTTATGTCCAGTTATCGTTTCACCTTATTTTATGCACGTGTCCATGCTTAACAGGTTAGTTATATGTATATCTACAACACAGTCGTCTGAGATGCATCCCATACTGGTATTGGTCCCCCAGTATGCTTTACTGTAGATGTTGTTTGTTGACCATGTTATCAATCTCCTCTATGCTATCGAACAAACAATCCTTATTATTGTCAGACAATTTGAATTTGGATTCACCTTTAAAGAAAAACCTCGACAGCTTGTTTTTCATTCATATTTTGAAGTCTGATGCCTAATTATGCATTTTGATTTGGCTATCTCTCACTAACCCCTCCCCCAGTGGCACAGCTGTTTGTCTGCGGACTTACAACGCAAGAAACCTGGTTTCGATACCAGTAGTGGGCAGAGCACAGAGAGCCCATTGTGTTGCTTAACTTCAAACACACACAAAAAAATCTCTTCCTAGCGAGTGTTTTAGCAACTCTACATCCACAAAAAGGTCACTTTGTGTTAAATGTATCGTCTAGTTCTGGAGGTATCATTCACATCTGTACTTACACTTTACTGGATTGTCGTATATCACACAAAAAGGTACTTAACATCACTTTTGGAGAATTTTGACTTTCTACCATGACCACTTATAGTGTTAACAACACTGATTTCACCTACCCTTTTCAGAGTTTCCAAAACGAGACATTTCGCCTCAATCTGTCTCACATATTAGCCTTCAGTAGCCAAACTTTTATTTATCACTTCTGTCTTGTGGCATAAGTGAGCCGTAAGTGCATTCACCACACTAATGCTGGGCAAAGTATAACTGCCAACATGTTTATAGGCATTATGCTCATATGACACTGTCCGATTGGTTTAGTGACAGTCCCTTAGAATAATCTAATAATATATAACTATATTCTGGTGTATTACTTTTTATACAGTATAGGGGAAGCATTACTATAATATTATAATTTTAATCCAATTACATTTATAGTTTCCATACTTATTTCCAACACTTTATAGTGCTATGATTTCTGTGCCTTAAGCCTATTAACACGCCATATAATACCAGCTGTTATCCCAGCTAGTGTCCACCGGTGAGTTAGCGGTAGCTTTACTGACGTACAATAATAAAATCCGGGGTTCGATTTCCGCGGTGGACAGAGCGCAGATAGCCCATTGTGTAACTTTGCAATAAAACAAACGAACAATACTCCAGCTAGTACATGAAAACACTGATACGATTTCAGTTTTGAAATACGCGGTGAACATTCGCCAATGACATTTTATACAACTGCTGCTACACCAACCGACAAAACTAACCTAACAAGGTGATCATACAACAGCTGCTGCTACATTAGCAGACAAAACTAACCTAACAAGTTGATCATGCAACAGCTGCTGCTACATTGGCCGACAAACTAACCTAACAAGTTGATCATGCAACAGCTGCTGCTACATTGGCCGACAAACTAACCTAACAAGTTGATCATGCAACAGCTGCTGCTACATTGGCCGACAAAACTAACCTAACAAGTTGTCATGCAACAACTGTTGCTACATCAACCGCCAAAACTAACCTAACAAGTTGATCATGCAACAGCTGCTGGTACATCAACCGACAAAACTAACCTAACAAGGTTATCATGCAACAACTGTTGCTACATCAACTGACAAAACTAACCTAACAAGTTTATCATGCTACAACTGCTGCAATATAAACTGACAAAATTAACCTAAAAAGTTAATCATGCAACAGCTGCTGGTACATCAACCGACAAAACTAACCTAACAGGTTTATCATGCAACAACTGCTGCTAAATCAGCTGACAAAACTAACCAAACAAGTATATTCTGCAACTGCTGATACAACAACTGATTCGTTCAAAATATTGATACAGTTTGTGTTCAAGGATATCCCGTGAACATACTACTACAGAATCCCCCATTTAACAATTCCTGCTATATCACTTGTTACATAAAAGATCAATGCTGTTTCTGTGTTTATGGGCGCCTGTTAACACTGGACTATCAGTTAATTCATTCAGCCCCTGCTGCAATGCTACTGAAGAGAAATCAGAATGTTACTGATATCTAAATACATTATAACAAAGTCTTATTCTGAAATTTTAATATTTAACATGTGTGATGAATGTTACTCATCTAATGCTATACTAAATTAAGGTTTAAAGCTTTAAATTTGTTTATAGCTTTATCCTAAGGTTTTATTTCTATAAATTGCCGAATGTTTTCCCTTTACTGGATGTTTTAAAAGTATTTTAATGTTTTATAAAAAGTGAATGGACATTTAAAATCTTTACAGCTTCAGAAGAAACGCCATATTGGAAACGATATAGTCTGTGTGGTGTTCCTAGAAGCAGACAGTACGGTGTTTTCCCCTGCTTGCATTAAGTCACATTTCCTACACACCTTCCTCGTCGTCAAGACAAGTCCAACCCACCGCACATTTCCTACAGTGTATGAGGTATGTGAAGAGCTAAAGTAATGTTAACTCATACAAATAACCAACCAACCAAACTATCAGAGTGGCATATATATAACTCAGGGAGAAACTCGGACGATGTATATATATATATATATTCCTTTTAAATGTATGTTGAAAAAGCAGACTGGTTCCAGTAGAAAGGAGCACTTTTCTAAACTGACAATGTAACATCCTGTAATTTTTTCTTGAACGTTGGTAGATCTTTACAAAGTGTCAGACCTCTGATGTAGCTGTCATGTTAAAGCATTCACTGCAAAGAGGGAATTATAACAAGCTGTAATATTAGGACAAGTAAATTCTAGATGTCTACATGTCTGTGTTATCAAAACAGTCTGCCTTGACAAGAATTCTTAACGCTGGTATAGAAATACTAACAATACACTTTACAAGGAAGTTCTAGACGCAGGCATAGCATTTAAATCAAGGCACTCAGCGTTAAAAAGAAATTCTTAATGTTAGAACAACAATAGTTTCAAGAAATCTGCACACAAAAATGTTTTAAACGGATACATACCATTAATATCAAAATACTCTGTTTTAAAAAACGTGCTAGACGTATACATAGCATTATTATCAAAACCATTTGTCTTATAAAAGAGTTCTAGACCTAGACATAGAGGTAATACCAAAGTAGCTACTGAAACGAGTAGCTTTTACATAAGCATAATAGCATAAAAATACATACAATAACTATAAATCTGAAGTAGTGCTCATAATAGCAAACATTGGATAACACACACGAAACTACTGACTGTTTCTTAAACATAATTTCTCTGAATATTTCTTTGCACTGTATTTGTTTATGAGGTCTCTTCCCGAGTGAATTTTTTAACCCACCATCAACATGAAAAAAATTATTTGAACTCTATATACAAGAACGATCATAATTGTTCTATAGCTTCAAAAGATGCTTTTTAAAGCTTGAAGATGAGGGTTTTTCAACCCTGGCGAAAATATTATAATAGAGTTAAACTTGGTCAATAGCGAAGGAATCGCCGCTAACATAACATGTAATCCTCTTTAATAATAATTTGATACTGTGAGAACAATACGTTGAACTGCTTTTTGTGTCTTGGAAACAAACATCTTGAAGAATATTGGACGAGAGATATAGTTTAAAAACGTTTATCTTCTTTTTCCAGGCTACATTTCTACCCATTAACACAATACCATATACTCATATATAACAATCGTCGAAGCGTTTAAGAGGAGAATTACAATTTGACAAGTTTCGTGAGTTAAATACACAACATTTTATTATTTGTTTTCACAAAAATATATATTTTAACTCGAACGAAGATATCAATGTTTTAATTGCATTTTCAGCAATAGCTCATTCTCATTTTGTTATAAGGGAAAGATGGAGTAAAGTATACCAGACTTCTGAGTTGAATCACTGTTACAAGGGAGAGATGGAGTAAAGTATACCAGACTTCTGAGTTGAATCACTGTTATAAGGGAGAGATGGAGTAAAGTATACCAGACTTCTGAGTTGAATCACTGTTATAAGGGAGAGATGGAGTAAAGTATACCAGACTTCTGAGTTGAATCACTGTTCGTAAAGTGCATGCAACTATTAGAAGTTATATAAAAATTATATTTTACTACATACTCTCCTCGTCTAGACTTTTAGTAACAAAAATAATTAAATATCAATTTACTATGTATCACTAGTTTTAAAAGGACTTTTTTTTAGTTGTTCGAGTCTGTTGCTTATTTTTCTGTCAGGTGTCTGTGGTTTCTCGAGATGAAGTTGGATCTTATAAGCCTTACCTCAGGAACAGATCAGTATTTGATAAGGTAAATGAAAACGATTCTTTATATCTCGCATTTTAACAAACAATATATCAAACGTAGAAATAACACCTATTTCCAATATCTATATATATAATACTTATTATTAATGTATGCCTCTCTAGTATAAGTAAACAAGAACCAACTTAAAAAACAGTTCTAGAATCATACACCAAATTAATAATCGCAATTCCATATCAATTAGACAAATTTCCAAAGTTAAGGTTCCTATTTACAGTTAGAATTTTGGTTAGAAAGGTTTACACAATGACTGTTCCTAGTTTTATCTTGCATTAATTAGACATTTCTGAACGTTTAGTGTTCCTAGTTTTATCGAGCTTTGGTTTTGGTGGTTATGGTGCTCGACTCGCAATCTGTGGGTCACGGGGTTAGAAACCCTTACAAAACGTATTCGTTCTTTCAGCCGTGGATCGTCAAAATATGACAGCCAGTTCCACTGGTCTACGGTAAAAGGTAACTGAAGAAGACGATGGGTAGTGTTGATTAGCTGCCCTTCCTCTAGTCTATCACTTCAAAATTAGAGACGCTAGCGCAAATAGTCGTCAAGTAGCTTTGCGCAAAATTCAACAAACAAATCCATCAGGCTTTGTG